GCATAAAACTTTATTTGGATTGTATTACAAGTGTTGTAGGGTATAAATAATACTTTTTACCGTACAACACGGTACAGTTACAATCAGAACCCCTTCAGATTAATTACTCGACCTCTTTATATACAACGATATAGCGATCACTATGTACACACACATATGTATACTTACATATAGACAAACTTAGACAAGTTTCGTTGTGAATTTTTAAACATATCGTGAAGTATTTACCCATTAGTTTGATCAGTTTTCAAATGAATAACGAATATTTCGCACATTTTATAACTGATATTTATCCATATCGCACCATCCTAACTCGCATTAAATCGCTTTTGAAAGGAAGTATTTGGGATTATACGATACAGAATATCCAGATCTACTGTTTTCGTTTCGTTCAAAAAGAGTTCACTAATATGATCGAATAAAAAAAATATTAAAAAACATAAAAAATTTATTTACATTAATTTTAAATATTATAAATACTTGGTGCAATTTAAATAGAAAAGAACGAAAGGAAAAAAGAAAAAATCATTTAAGAAAGCGAAACTTTCGAAATTTCTGTCGGCAATGGACGTAAATCTCGGTGTATTCGATTTAGTTAAATTGGGTATTAAGTGAGTAAAAATCGAAAAAATAGAATAAAAAATAAATTATGTCCTTTTTGGACCTTAGCTTTTATAATAGCAAAAAAATGAGTAAGAATGCTATAGTTGGGTAAAGTCTGCCATTACGTACCCTACACCCCCTTAATTAATACAGTCATTCATTCACTTCTTTGATAATACATCAGAAATTATACTTTGTTTTTATGTAAGTGTACGGACCATAGCAGGATGGTCTACGGAATTGACCTATATGGACCAAATTTGATAAGGTTAATTTTTATGCTAAATTATTATTATGAACGAATGTTCATTAAGAAGTATTTAAAGTTAGATTAGTCGTCTTCGATCGAAGGTTTTCAAATCAATGTAAAATGTCGATATACTATTATTAAGCAATTTTGATTATAAAATTCTAAAAATTGTAATGTTGTAAAACAGCTGACTCGAGCCTTGAATAAAACCTCTCAGTCTACAAAATTTCATCAAAATATCTCCAAAATTTCGGCTTTTAGAAAAACAAGACGGACGGACAAGTTTAGAAAGATGGGTCTATCGTAAGCCCTTCTTGGTGTTACGTACGTCCGCACAAACTTAGTATATCCTCTATCACAAGTGATGTAAGATATAATAACTTATATCGTATATATCCAGAACTCTTTGCAACGTAACACCTTATGAACGGATATAGTGATCATCGCTGATGTATGTATAAGTTAAACTTAGAAGGATTGCGCTTACATAGCATGTTCAGATTATAACGCTATCATATATATTTTCAGTTGAATACGTTTTCTATGGCTTCATGAAGTATATTTACTAAGAAATCTGCAAACGTTAGATAACGAATTATTCCATTCAAACGGTTATATCATTATATTATATTATAAACGATTGCACGCAAATGTATTGAGATATATAAATATCATTATGTATAAAACAAAAATTGTTTATGCAAGTTTTTATATTTCCCTTAACGAAATCATCAAACGAAATAACGAATCGCTTACGGATTTTTTGAACTGATTCTTATTCTCTCTTCCCTTTGCCAGATTTATCGCCTTTAGAGTGCAACAATATTATCTGACTACTTATGAACATGAAATAGTTGACACGCTTTGTGGCCGAGTGAAAGGTGCGAAGCGAAAGACAATTTACGATAAGTTTTATTATGCTTTCGAAGGTATACCGTACGCTAAACCCCCAATAGGAGAATTGCGATTCCGTGCACCTCAACCGC